GACAAAAAGTGCAACCAGAATCACCTCATTGTCTGTCAGTTTTAGTGCTTCCTTCTCCTGCTGTTTCGCAGTGCCTGGCGGGATCCCCGAAATACTCTTTCCTGTTCATTCTTTCTTCATTTGTAGTTAGTGAACTCCCATAATGCAGCATGAAAAATAAAAGTCACTCTTGGCCATCCAGACTTGGCTTTTAAACAAACGCCAGCCACAAAGAGGAGATTACTTATAACAAAAGCAGCGCCCATTTTGTGTGGTTTGTTGTTGATTCTCCTGTGCCTGTTGAGTTTCTTGATAGGGCTGCCTATGTTTAGGTACATTTATGACAGACAAATCTCTTGCGGTCAGCACAAAGCTGGTGGGTCCCTACTGCTCGCTTACTTAATCCACTGCCTTATATAGCAACAGCAAAAAGGTGACTTGCTGGCACAAGAGTTTTCAGGCCCCCTTTTATCAGTGAGCCTCAAAGCTGAGTGTATTTTGATCCCTTTTCCTAAATTTCCCTCACCGAACCTACACATACAGCTACTGCTGCCGTCACTGCTGTTGCTCACCTGCCTTTCTCTGGCTCTTTTCACCTGCATCACAAACACCAACCCCTTGAAGGAAGAAATAAGCAGTGCTGCTGGTGCGGCCTAGAGCTAGAAGCACAAGGAGGTCTCACCCACCTTAGATTTCCCATGGGAAAGCTTCGGCACCACCAGGTCTTTGACCCTCTTACACCTGCGAAGTGGTGGTCAGGAACCACCTCACTCGAGCCCCTCCAGCAACTCATAATCCCTTTCCTGACTGAGTGAGGTCAGCACAAGAAGCTCGAGGTCCCACATCACATGGATGTGCTGTGGAAGAAACCAAACAGGAGCAAAGACGATGCAGCGCCCAAGTGGTTTGGAAAGATGAGTAGAGCCAGGGTGAGGTCAACTTTTTTCTGCTAGATTGTAGAGGGATTAAGATACCTGGCATTTTCAGAGCTACACTGCAAAACTCATTTGGGATTCCCATGCAGCTAAGATCACCAGACACCTGTGTTTCTGCAGCAGGCGATTTTCTGCGCTCGTTACAGAATCTGCTCAAAACCTGCCGCCTCCAGTTCACGCTGACGGATTGTTTAAGACAAAGCTTTCTGAACAATTTTGTTACTGGGGTACAATGCTCTCCTGAAGCTGAGTATTCCTGAGGTTGGGAATGCACAACTGTGGCGTGCAACATGCACATCCAGAGATCTCTATGTTTTTTTTTTTCTCCTTCCTCTTGAGCAGGTCCCTCCAACATAGCTTAGACAACGAGGGTTTTGCATACACTCCACGAGGACATGATGTAAAAAGCTGATCTGGTCTGTGGGCATGGCTTCTTTCCATATACACCGCACCAAATGTTTCCTTGATCAGCTGTACTTTCTTATGTAAGCAGTGTCAGCTCTAGCACGGTCACACAGAGATGAGCAAGGAAACAACAAGCTCTAGAGCCAGACCTGCTACTTTCGCCCTCCATTGGACAGGGAGGCACAACAGTCAGCGTATACAAGTAACTGGGGCTTGAGGAGGAGAGGAAGGAGAGCTGGCGGCTGGCGCAAACAGCAGCCACAGAAGGGGCCTGCTCGGAGCAAGATGCTTCGAGCCTCGTAGCCAAACACGTTGCTCTAACTCTAGGTCAACAACTGTGTGCGCGCTGCATTCCTGAGCTGGCTTAAATTCAATTGGTCAAATATTTTGAGTGCACATTCTCACCACCTGTTCTGTGATAAGGCATAGGTCCTCCTGGCGCAATTCAACCCTCTGCTTGATGTTGTAGCCTGTGAATAACATCATTCTTGATGTTATTCTGAGCAAATTAAACAACTTATCTTACGAGTATTTATTTAGGATGATTAGTACAACAGGACTAGTGTCAAATCAAGACATCTTGCTGTTTGAACAATGTGGGGTCTGCAGGTTGCCTGCCTCCATAAGTTGCTTAATACATGCACTCTAGCAATGTTCAGATCTTTCGTCATGCCAACACGTATTAAACAGGATTGTGTTTCCCTGTTCGTGGATCAGTAAAGTTATCTCAAGCTATATAAAGAAATATTGTGAGCGCAAAATCCTCAGTTTATCCAGTGCATCTACTTGGCATTTGAGGAGATTTGCTATTAACTAATACCCTATTTCTGGACAACCTAGCCAGAACATACACCACCGCTGAATCCTGTATCACATAAGGTCTATGCAGACTGTCACGTTGCTATGTTAACAGAGTTTGAAGCAGGTATGTAGAGGGGAAATGGGAATCAAAAGTCCGTAGGGACTTTTACTTTCAAACTATATTCTTACTATTATTCACAAAAGTTTTAGAGCTTACTAGGATCCATCTGCGCCCATCAGCTCCCCCGCCCGCAGCCTCAGCCTTGCGTGACTCCTGTTGTGAAATGAGCCGTGCCGCCAAGCACGAGGAAACAGGAACCCAGGCATCAGCTCGTAACAGTAGTTTTCCACTCATCATATTCCAGTACAGTTTGAAAAGTTTACAATGATTAATGTCAGCCTGAGAACAGCGTTGAAGCCTCCGAACATTTAAAGCTATGGTAAGTTTTTATTTTATGCCATCTATTTCGGAAGTTTAGATCTCAGTATCAGAACATCTCCCTGCTTATCTGCAGAGCCCATGGCAAAATTTGAGTGTATTGTGAGTATATGAAACGTCGTTGCTGCCCTAAGCGTAGTTCAGATGAACATGTGTCGCAGCAGCAATGCTCCCTGCTGCCCATGGGGCCTTTGGGCACTTCCTGCTGGGGGCTCCCTGGCAGGGGTGAAGCACTTGACATGCTACTCCACAGCTGAAGATGCTAACCCTGTCGCATCACACTTGTGGTTCTCGATGAGAATCAAAAACCTTGAACAAAAGTCTCTCTCTCTCACCCTGCCCAGAGTTCATCCCTCTAGCGACCCGCCTGCAGCAGGAGGTCTGAACCAGCAGTCTGGGCCCTCCTCACCCCAAAAGCAGAAGTTGAGGTTTAGGCACCAATTTTCCTAAATCTGAATGGGAGGGAAGCATGGCATTGTCTGGCTTGTAAAAAGAGGATTCACCCAGACCAGGCAACTATATCATCTATGTTTCCTTCTAAGTTGTTCTCCAAAATGTTTATGAACTTGTTTTAAAAGCCTGATCCACTCGCTGTCCTGAACTTAAACACTAGTTATGCCTTATGTGACTGCCACTCGGTTAACCATGTATTTACCAGTACACATAGGTATTGCACAGGTATTCACACCCTACCCAGCTTGCTGACAATCCAAACAGTGATTTGTTGTCCAATTTTCAGCTAATGCAGAGCACCACTTCTACAAAGGTCATGGTAATGACACCACCACCAGGACTATGTCAGATTTAAAATCTTACTAATCTTAATAGCTTTAGGGAAAACAGATAGAGATAAGCAGATTTCATGACAAGAAGCTTGGAAAAAAAGGAACATGTGTTTGGCCAGATCAGGTAATATCAGCAGTGAGATGCATGTAAGTTTTGGGGGAAATCTTCCTCATTTATCCTTCTCTCCTTGTACAGCGGGGAAAAAAGTATTTTTTCCCCAAAGGTAAATGACTTTCAGAAACTTTTGTTTTAGAAATCCATAAAAATACCCATTACATACAAAGAATGATTCTTACTGATCATTGTTTCCTGTAAAAAATATCCTAACTCATATTTTGTGCTGTTTCTAAGAGTTTTTTAAAAAAATATTGCAAGTTAGCTGACTTTGAGTCCTGAAAAGAGGTACTTAAAGACTGAACTTCAACAAGATAACATGGATTGGGTAGGTGCAAACAGAGGCCCACTCAAATACATATAACATACCAACTGCAAGAAGATAATTGTAAAGACTTCAGTGTCCCCAAAGAGTTCTTTACCCAGGCTGCACTTTGGCCCTCACATCTTTCCTTCTTGTCAGACAAGTGATAGATGGAGCCCTGGGGACAGATAAAAAGGCCAGTTTAAGCCTTGTGGGATGCCACCTCCATGAAAATACGTACTGGGACCAGAGTTGGCTTAGAAAAGCCTATGAAAAGGTTTCTATGGGTTTAGTGGTTTCCTCTCAGTGCAATAGGTACTGCAGCAGCCTGACCATAGCCATGATTTTTTAAAGATTTAAATAAAGCTAAGTTTGAAAGGAACAAGCGTGTTGGACCAAAATACATAGTTGAAGGAGGGTTGGGCACATGCACCCCTCCCTGCACCCCCTTGGACCTGCAGTAATATGTGCGGTACCAACCTTCATACTCTGAAGGCTGCATGTGCTGATCAGACTTCTGTGTAAATCAGATGATTTATAGAGAAAGCTGAAGTGATTTCCTGGCAAAAAAAGGACCATCATGTATTGTCTACAAGTGACTGTCTCCTAAAGCAGCTTTTAATCACATATGAACAGCCAACTATTGTTTTATTGATCTTCAACAAACGGTAAGTGTTTGTGGTCAAGATGGGACTGCTTCATTATGTCTTTGAAAAGGATTGTGCCACTTTAAGAACCAAGTGGGAGGTGATACAGGCACTACTGTACAAACAGTTACCTGTGCGGTCTGCTGCGCTTGCCTTGGAGACTCACGCCGTCTGTGGCGAGCGCTGCTCTCATCGCCTTCGTTTTCTCCAGCAGGTCGAACACCACCTTCTCTAACACGCTCTTGCTACCTGACAGCCAACGATGGAAGCCCATGCAAAGCAACCCAATTTCATCTGTGAGATTTGCACGGCACCTCTAGGACACTAGGAAGGTAAGAGTGGACAGGAAAGAGCAGAATTCCTGCAGAGTCATCACTCAAATTCATCACCTTTCCTGCATTCAGCATTAGAGAAAGGCAGAAGTTACTTCAGATAGTCAGTTTGAGAAAGAGACAAACATTCAACTCAAATTCAAGCACTTACTAACCTTTCTGCAAAAACAAGGAGATAGATAGTAAGTTATTTCTAATTTGGTTAAGAGGTGGCTTGCAGGGGAGGGGGAAGAAGAGGAAAAAATCAAAGTTCCCACGTATGCAGTTTATATTAAGTTCACTAATAGCAAAATGGTCACTTGGCTAGAAAGTTATGGAGTTGGGTCTACAAGTACCTTGCATCTGACAAACCTTTATTTTCCCTATAAAGTTAACAGGCTTTCAGCTTGTATAAGTTCATTCAAAAGTGTTTAAAGTCTGAACATTTCAGAATAGGAAAAGTCTATTTTACTTACAGGCGTATATAGTCCCTCTCTGCAAAACGTTCAGAATACTAACAGGCATGTGCCAGAAACTCTAAGGTAACACATAAAGCTGCCTTGTTAGATCAAATATGAGAAAAATCAATCAGAATTTACATATCTAGAAAAAGTGATTTGTGCATATTTTAAATAGCACCAGGGAAGCACCTATCTGTAATATTTGACCTTTCATTGTGGTCACCTGCTTACATGGAAAAGCAAGCTGAAGCGTACTGCACCTAAAGGCACTAGCAGTAAAATCCCTGTGTTCTACACTGCCTTTGCGTTAACTATGCTGTATCCTCATCATTCTTTTTTTTAAATTGTCTTCTCTCTATTTTTTTGTTGATGCACAGCAGGTTACATTTCTGTACCCAAGCCATGAGCTAGATTTGCATCCAGTTAGTGACTTTACTCACAGAGTGCTAAACAGACAGAGGCTTTACTTAAAAGTAATCAAACTACAAGAGGCTTCAGAAAGAGGCTGAAATCCTTTCAAAATGAATACTGAAATATTTGCTATAATTATCACTTTATTCAGTTGTGACTTGTAGATGGCATTTATGACACAAGAAGCTTCAGTGAGGCTTCTTTGAATGCTTTATGATTTAATATTTTCAAACCTCTGTATGACCTTTGTTACTCTATTTGAAAAGTTTTGCCCCTTGAGGGATCAGTTCAGTATGTTATTATATCTGTTTGGGGTTTTACATAGTTGAACTATGTTTTTTTTTTCTCTACAGAATTTACTTAGGAATTTGATTTGTTTTTTGCAAGTTGTTTTTTATTACATTTTACTTGCAGTAACAGTTATTTCTTGACTATCACCTTCCATTTGAATATAACACTCAGCAAGAACTTCAGATTTGAGAACTTTTCACTTTCTTCCCATGTGCTGCATCCAGTTATAACATACACGGTCACAAAAGTAGTATAGGAACTGCTGAGTTTCCAGGTTTATAGTAGTCCTGGTCTATAGTAGTTAGTAGTGGCGCAGTTATTACAAGGCACAGTGCAGACGTCACAGCAGTGATTACCTCTCCAGAAGACAGGTCTAGGCATGTGTAATTATTTTTAAATATTAATAGGAAGTTGGCAGTTATATTCGAGAACAGGTACACAGTAACACTTGTTTACCCCATTTAAAGTCTAAAGATTTAAATCACAACCTTAGTAGAACAGGAAGCAGAACAAGTTGTTGCTGTTTTAGCCCTTGTATTTGTTCTTCCATTAGAATACCTATGTGCATGGCAGGAAAGATGTTTATATCTTTGCAAAATGGGACGTGTTCTGCCGCGCCAACTGTGCTAAAGCCACAAGGAGTCAATTTTGTCTAACCAGGCAGCTCTCACATTTGGAAGATAAAGCCCCTCCTGCATAAAGAGCTATAAGCCCTGTTTGTATAAGATACCAGAAATTCAATATCACATCTGGTTTAGCTGGGTGCATTTAATTAGTGTATTTTAGTAGGACTGCAGACCTACTAAAGCATCAAAAATGTTTGTGTAAGAGGATAATTAATATTTGGACTCTAAAATTTCAAATATGTATTTTGTTAGCGCTGTCAATGTCACGTTTTATCATCCTGCCTGCCAGGAAGGCAGGCTAGTGATCAAGCACTGTAGAAGCCAAGTCCCATTTTCTTTACTCAGACTAGTCTGTTGAGCAAGATCCAGTATTCTTAAAAGTCTCAAGTTACACAGAAGTCATTTGTACTGTACTGTACTTGGATTTAGTCTGTTTCAGTAATAATGTAAATCCAAACTCATATTGAGTAGTAGCGCGCCTTTAGGGATGGAGGAGAAGGAAGAGGGAAGGTCTGATTCTCAGCGATGCGTTGCTGAGCGGTGCAGCAACTGTACTAGAGCTCTCATAGAAACCTGCCCTAGTAAGCTGCTCCTTCGTAAAGCCACCATCATTTTCTTCGATGTAAGAGTAGTTTGTCTTTCCTCCCTAAAGTGGAATGAGGAAGAGAGGCCAGCCAGCAAATAGGGGTTTCTTAAGGAGGTACATGACAAATACCACCCCTGCTACCTGCCTCAGAGACAGCAAAGTCAAGCCTCCCAGCTAACAGGTGCTCCCAGCCAAGTCCCTGTAAATGATGCTTTTATTCATGGGATCCATATGCCTGCGTGTGTCAGTATCTTGTTCCCTAGCTGTGACAGAACATCTAGAAAAGAGCCCAGTGCAGTTGCTAAGCATTTCCAGTGACATTAGAAACAAAATCTTAGGGCAGACCACTCAGTACAAAATTAAACACCATATTCACCTGTTTGGACATTAGTCAAGAGTCTGCTAATTTCCTTGGTATGCTTCTATAAATACTCAATCACACAAGCCTACAAGCAAGTGTCAAAGCCTAAGGTATGTCTATGCTTGCTTTATGGACATTTAGCAACAAGGTTTTCTACTGAGTAGAAAACTCAGTAAAAAGAGTGTTAAGTAGTTCACCAACTGGGAATTTGTTCTAGTGTTGCAAGTGCTGAGGTTCCCACCAACCTGAGGTTCTCCATCTGCAGAAATCCTCTAAGAGTCACAGGACTTGCGCAGATTCTGTTCTTACCAGAACTGTGTAAATATGGGTATAAAACTGAAATACTGCATTGGGGAAGATGAAGGAATTAGTTATTTACATCTGAACTGAAAATGAAGAAAGGCCAACAGTCGTTACCCGCATTTTGTGTTTGTTTCCAACTGAGTCTTTTGCTCTCTTTGTGCCTTGATTGACATTAGATGCTGATTAACGAGAAGGAAGTTACTAAAAAGAAAGTAGAAGAGAGAGAGAGAAAGATATCCTGAGAAAAGAGAAGATTTAATTAAATTTGCTGTTATGAAATGGGCCTTGTGGACTTCAATCTATCTTGCATTTTGGTGACTGCATTTAGGAATTTACTGAGCTTCCAAAGGAATCTTTAAAATTTGTTTTTTCTGTTCCCAGGCACTAGTCAGCTGTGCTAGATTTGTGGCCTTTCCAAGTGGAGAGAAAAAAGTTATTACAAGATAGTCAAGTACTTTGAAGCCTGAAGGAAGACAGATTATATAAATAGATATTTCTGAAGCTGAGGCCAAATTAGATACTAGACCATCTTTCTGCCCTGTGCAGAGGATCTTCAGAGGAATCACTACTGAGAGCAAGTAACATCACCTGGCAGATCATCACCTCCCACAGGCATCTCACACAGGGACCTTTTCACATTCCAGTGCCCCCATGAGCAGAGGAAGGCTGTCTTTTAAGACTTTACAGTACCTCTGTATGCTGCAAATCAGCCTATTTTGCATAACATTATTGCAACACCTTCAGCATTTGGCCTTATCACAACACTGAGGAACTGTAGCTTTATTTTTCCATTTGTGGCAGGGGGAAAAACTTGGATGGGGGATAAATACATCTGGGTTTTCAGAAAGTTTTCCCTATTGTTAGTTCTCTAAAATTGAAAAATATTAATGAGTAACTTGGGGGGGGGGGGGGGAATCAAGATTAGCAGAAAAAAATGGTATTTTTTTAACACAGAGCTAGAATCAAAGAAAATAGCAGAGCCTGTGGAAGGCATGGCATGCAATCTTAAATAGCCTCAACTGGTGGGGAAAGACTGGGCTAAATTCCCTGCAGGGCAGAAGCCACAAGGCAGCTGTCTCCTCTGCACCCTGCCCACCGGGTTCACTGTAAGAGGGCAGCTTAAGTCAGAGTAAATCACTCCTCCTGCCTACAGCTGCTGATTTCTGCTAATCAAAAGTTAAAGCTTCAGATCAAATGGCCCAAACCGCATATTTCCTGGCTTTTCCATGCTGTGATAGGCTGTGGTTTGGCAGACAAGTACACCCCCTAAATATGCTATAAAGCAAGTCTGTTTCCTGCTTCCCTCATCTTCAGCAACAGTTGTGTGCTGTGATCTTAGACATTACAATTCGTAAATGGATCTGTGGTAAGATAAGAGGAGCAGTGAAGTAATCCACAGTCTTCAAGACCTGCGTTTTTACAAGGCCTAATTTAGATTACATTAAACATATGCAGTTAATCAAGCATGTAGCTTCATTTCCAGAAGTCTGTCACAGAGTTACAATTTAACTTTCTCTGGAGGGTGAAAGGATTGAATTGTGATTTTTTAGGAGAGGATTCTCGCCATCTCATGCTATGAAAATCCCTCACTTAGAGTCCAAACAAATAGGTCTTCATCAACTATAGTCCAGAAAGAAAAATTTTAATCTGTCTAGCTTCAGGCAAATCCAAAGTGAAGCACTGAATGCGGGACATACAACCAGAAACCACACACCTTTTCCAGTAGGCCTCTATTTTTTCCCTCCCTAAGTGCCTTCAGTATCATATAACTCTCTAAAGTCGTCATTTATTGCCTTTCATTTATTGTCTTCATCTCCAATCCTTGCAAAGGCCTCCTCTATCCAGTTGTTAAATTTGAGGGGTAGATCTAGAGCATCCTTCATGGCGAAGTATTTTGCCTGTGTGGTTTAGAGACCAGATCTGATGTACTCACATTCACCAATAAGGATTTTCATTGAGATGAACGTACAAAGATCCAGTGACAGTGTATGTTTACTCTATAAGAGACACACCACTGCCTTTGTGTTTCCAGAGCAATGTTTTAGTTGACTGCCATTTTGAATCATTCAGTCATACTCTCCTGTAACCAGACCTTGGAAGTTTGGGAAGACAGAGGGCCTCCTGGCTGTTTGAAAATATTATTAACCACATACCAGCACAGCCTGTGCACAAACACTGCCACAAGTGAAAAATACCTCATTGACTGAACAGCAATTCCAGGTCTTTCATATGAATGAGGTAGAGGCTGGCTGACACAGATAAACAACATTTAAAAAGGCAATTTGAGTTGTGGCTTCCAACTACTAATTAGTACCTACTAATTGCACAGCACTGCAGTTTAGCCAAATCACGTGTCAGTGCATATATTTCAATTTGGGATAGATTCCACTGTAACAAATTCACCTTATTTCTAAGGCTTCTTACTGGAAATGGTGTAAATTAGTAATACTGGCACATGACCCCCTTGTCATATGCAGTGTAGCAGTTTTGGTCATAAAGAGTCCCTAACATGTTCAGAACCCAAAAGACCAGCAAAGCAAGCTGCATCATCTGAGCCCCTGGGCTGTTGGTAAGAGCCCAAAGCCTTAAAACTTGAGAACCCCCTGAGACACAGCATAAATGGGTGAGGGACAAGTTAACAGTTCAAGAACATTAAATAAGACTTACTACCAGAGTTATTAGCCATCAGCAGCAGTCATCAACCAAATCACTCTGCTGACTGACTGATGCAATACTTACCCACAGCCCTCTTCGTTCCTCTTGCTATAATTCACTCACAACATGTCATGCAGAATAAGCAGCATCTATATTTTAAGTAGACCCACCTCAGTGTCAAGAAAAGGTGCTGTTCTGGGTGCTTTACCATTTTTTAGCTAAAGCTGATGTACCTGACAGTGCTGGTAATAAGGCCCTCAGTAAGTAAACTACTACTCTTGATAGCCTTGGACCACACAGCCTGACTCCTTGAAGCTGGCTCCACACTATCACAGATCCTCTCGCTGCTTCTAGATTGCCTCTGCAATATCCTTGACGCTATTTTCTGACTGCAAAGCATTTCAGCTCCTCAGAAAGACCAAGTCTGACAGAATCCCTATTGAAGCAAGGGCTTTCTCCCACAGATGCACGTAGGGCTCTTGCCTGACCTTTATTTTACTGCTAATGGTGCTGCTGCCAGTGCAGCAATCCTTTATCCAAGCATACTGACCGATTATGTCTTTTCTTCACCAAGGAACGAAGCAGAGAGGTCCCATCCCCATGGTGCCTGCCTGTATTGCTCGAGCACACCTCACCTTCATTACTTCAAACCATTGGGCTCACTTTTTCAGTAGAGGAGGAAAACAGAAGCTACATCTTCCTTCCTTCTCCATGCCCAGGATGCCTCAGTCCCTCTGTTTCCCACTTGACATTGTCTAGTCCAACTGAAGGTCACTGAAAGTTCATTTTATGGAGGTTTAACAGGTATGTTCTTTTTTTCACAGCCAGAATTTAAGGAAGGGAGGTGGTGCTGCTGCTCTCATTCCCAGTGTTATCAGGCTGCTGTGGGTAACAGGGAAGGTAGGTCTCACTGGATTTTTTCCTACTTAGCCAACTGCTAATGAGGGATCAACAAAACAAAATGGGTAGAGGGGATTTCCCATGGGAACAATGATTGTGAATAACTGCCTGGCTAAACAGGAGAACAGCAGCAAAATGAAGCAGGAGAATGAGGAGGAGGATTAAATGTAATAAACAAGAGCATAAATGAAAACTGGAAAAGGAAACAAAAGTAGCAGTAGCAAGAGGTTAACAGAAAATGCCTGATGGAGAAACAAAGGCAGGAACAAGACACACAAATTAGGTCATAAATGAAGATATTTAAAGGAATGCATTGATGGACAAAGAAAACTGAATAGAGGAGCGAGGACAAGAGGCCCGTGTCTGATATTCCTTGTGCAGCCTTTCTAAACCAGTTCTTTGTGTCACGGCTATGAAGCTGTACGAGGCAGCTCCCTGAGCACAAATATCCCTTCTTCCCAACAGCAGCCTTCCCCAGGTATAAGTGGTAGGCCTCACACTTACCTTTATACATCAACAGAGGAAAGAGGGAAAAATATATCAAGAATGCCATATGGTCAAAACACCACGTGGCCTGCTGAGCTCAAGAACACACCCTGCATTAGTTAGTGCTGGTAAAGAAAAAATTGCAGGTCTGAGCAGATGAAGAATGAACAAAACCAAACAATTATGTTATAGGTCGGGTAACATGGGACACCGAGCACAGGTGACTGTGGGGGACAAACCTGGCAGGCAGCATTCCAGCCCCGGTACCCGGCCGGCCTCAGGTATGCAGTTCAGCTAGCCCAGCAGCAGCAGTCACCTGTGTGCTTCAGGCTCTGAGTGAAGCAGGTTGGACCTGCACCTTCCCTGCTATTCCACAGTTGGCTAGAGTTGACATTAATCTGTACTTTGAAACTTGACATCAGCTTGCAAGAGCTGAGGCTTCTAGGGAGGTCTCTGCACTTTTGCAGACAGACTCAGACACCAGACTCCGCGAAGTCTGGGAAAAGAATGAGTTTTCCATTGTAAAAGTTTCTCTCTCAGAAACAAAGAGAAGAAGAAAATCTACAAGGAATATTGGTACTAGAGAGGTAAGATTTGACTCTTAAGTAGCAGAGTCAAATCTATTTAGCAGCCAAGACAAGCTCTATCTAGAGTCTACCTAACAGATTTCCAGTCTTCATTAAGGAGTATCATCACCAAAATCCTCCAGGATTTTTTATCAAAATCTGCTGCTTCTCTTCATGAACCAAAACAAAAAGATCTTTGTTAAAGGCAATTTTAGCACTCCTAAGCCAGGTGGGAAAATGCTAGTAGCTCACCAGTTTTCCATACATACTCTGATTCTTCTACTCTCTCCCCAAATAAACATGTTCTATCAATCCTGTTTCAGCCTTGTCCTTCTTATAAGGGTCAGGATTTAATGACAGAAACATGCTGTATCACTCACTTTGAGCAGCAATGGACAAACCTTAAACATTCTCTTGTGAAATCTAGGCCAAATTCCTAGGCTGAAGGGAGTAATGCAGTCCTTCAGGAAACATCCTTACTGCCATGCTGGAAGGGTAAGGGGTTGGGGAAGAAAACCCTACTCAGCTCCTGGCCACAACCTTTTATACATTCACCCATTGGCTTTGTTACAGTGCTCAGCTGTGTAGATCTCAAGCCTGAGGCGTTCCACCCAGCCCTCAGTTTGCTAGGACATACCTATTACTCGTCCTTTCTCCTTGCATCAAAACCTAGCACGATTTAATTCTTGCCTAGCTGGTCTACTTTTTCTGCTTCACATAACTCAACTCACAGGACTTACTACTGCTGCTTCTGCTCTGCAAGTGCACTCCTCTTACTGGGTAGTAAAATCCTTCTGCATCTTAAACTCACATGCTTCACTAAACCGTTTCAAATGGAAATCAGCTTTAGGAAGTTTTAACAAGTTTCATTAAAATATATTTGTAGTTATTCTACAAATGTAGCACATAATTATTTACTGAGTATCCATTGCAGCTCTTTGGCAAGCACAACGTTTCTAATGCATATTTTTTAGGAAAAGACAAAAAAAAATAGAGAAATACTCGTTCTGTTGGCAGATGATGCACAGGTTTCCCTTCTTTCCAGCATATACTTTAGCTGTGATAGACGTCCGCATAACTTTGTTTTCTGTAACAATGCACAAGTAACCTTGCTTTCCAAGACTGCGTGGGTCTGAATTTTGCTTAATTGATCAGTTATGCTGAGTTGGGTATTAATTAAGGACTTGGAGACTATCCTGATATAAACTTAGTCCTTAACTATGGAAAAAACAGTTTGCCTCCTGCTTACTTTCCATCTCACTTCTCCCTCTCCCAAGACATTTTATCAACTCTGCTCATTATCTGATTTATTTACCTACTTGGTAGGCAATTTACTTGTTAGATAAATGCTGTAAAGTTATTAAGCATATTCATTTTTAAAACAAAAACTTTTTTTAGTCTGATAACTGTGAGTCCTATGTGCAAGATGATATCGGTAACTGCAACACTGGGCAATTCACACTCTCATAAATATTGAACGCTTTAACCCCTGCTGACCCCCTCACTGACCCACTTTGGCTTTGCCTACGCTGATGAGAAAAGCCAAAAGAGCAAGCTAGTGTCCCACTGTGAGAAATGAAGTTGAAAAAAACTGAAAAATACTAGCTTTAGTAACTCTTTCATTGTGTCAGGTAACAGTGACTCTTGCTCCTCAGCCTGACTTGTGCGCTTCTCTTTCACAGCCCTAAGTAAAACAAGCATATCTGAATATTCATAATGCCACTTTGCAAGAAAGTAATGAAGTAGCTTTTTTTTGTTTTACAGGTTCAAACTCTTGACATTGAGGAAATCATGGTGGAAACGATCTTGGCACCATGGGAAATACTGCTGGTCATTCTTGCTGCAGTGCTGATAATGAGTTTTCTCATGTTTCTGCCCCCTGCTGCTATAGTGCTCTGGAGAATGAAGTATACTCCTCAGATCTCATTGCATGGATCTGTGTAAGCCAGCCCTAAAACAGGGTAATACCATGGATCCCTTTAAAGGATGGTTCAAAACAATAAAATCTCTCAGGACCACTGTTACTGCTTAGGATCCATCCAAAAGTGATGTTTTTCCCAATCTATTGCTGCCAAGTTCCTGTAAAAACAGAATATGTATAATTTTCTCGTCATTTACTACAGTTTTCAACACTTTGCCTTCTTGTTTGTTGGCTACATTGCAGTTACTAGTATTTGCTTGGTTCCTAGACTGACAACTTCTTTTGCATTATAATAGACTGAAGCCTGAAAGAGAAGCAAGCATAGTACTGTATTCTATTCCCTTATCTAATTTCAAAAAAGCATGCCTATTTACAGTAACACTGTAAATAATACCGAAAAGTTTAACCGAGATGACTGATGGTTATGCAGGTGGACGTAGCAAAACAAGTAGTATACTCTGGGGAGCTAGTAGTTTACCATAGTTTTACTGTGAAACTTTAAAGAAAAAAAAAGAAAAGAAAGGTGCAATAAATAGGCATCTTGTCCTTGTTTTGTCTGATTTAAAACATGTTGACTTAAAATGTTTTTCATTTTTCTTTCCTACTATATGACTTCTTCTCTTTGCGTAGCCCGAGTGTAAGGACACACAGCCACCCCCATGCAGTGTGAGGGACAGCCTGACGCTCAGGTGCACCAGCCTAGCCACCAGCTCTCAGTTAATGCAAACACACTGTCATTATCTGCCTGAATTGGATTATGCAAATTTGCTCTGGGAAATAATGTGATTAAGTGTACTTTAGTTTTAAATGTATCATATAAACTTACTGGTTCGACTGTCCTTTCTCATATATAAATAATAACTTAGGTGGGAATAGAACAAAATTGCTTATGTGTAAGTGTATAACAAAAGCAATCTTTAGCTCAAAATATACACAATATTAAAATAACAGTCTTCCAGCCTAATTCTTTGATGTTATGTGAAGTTCATTAGTAGGATTTTTGATGCACAGATTTAATCGTTTCTGTTACTTTACAAGACCAATGGGTTTGATTTTTCTCATAAAAAACAGTGGTGGAGTTCTTTCATTTTGTTGGTTGGTTTTGGAAGGACACTAGAATAGGTGAATATACCTGGGAGAAAAATGTTTTCTTTTAGTAGCAGTAGAAAAATGATAATGGAAAGGCCTCAGTGCTTCAGGATTTTTATTTGAGCAATGGCTGATACTGTATTGGCTGGAAAGGAAAGACTCAAGGACATTATAACTTCATTTGATATGGGTTATGTCTGCCAAAAATAAATAAACCCACCAAGGACTGAAAAAACAATTGCTCTTCTTTAAGACTGCAACACTTTTCTTACCTACACTGACTGGAGTTCCCGCCTGAGCGGTAAGCAGCCGAAGCAGGTGGCTCATCCCTGCTGTTGGTGTAACTCTCCACTGCGTTACTAGAGAGTCCTGTGACCGTCTGGTTGGGTTCTGGGCCTGAAAGCAACTGATGGTCTTTATGATTTTTAATGACTAGATTGTAAACCTTTGATTTTGAATACCTGAAAGACAGTATGTAATTTTCCTAAATCATGTTCTATATATATATGTGAATTATGTAAATGCTTAATGAGGTAAAAGTCAATTAAATATCATGTACTGTGTAACTATGCTGCCTATGTCTCTGTGATACTCACCAGGGTAGGGAAAAGGTGAAGAAGAGAAAGAAAACACAAACAGATGAGCTGGCTGTCAGCAGATCCATGGCTTCACTGTTTGGTCAACAGAAGAAAATTGCCCCAAAACCCCAAGGCCGGGTTCAACTGAAAACTGAGAAAGCAATAACAAAGCTTTGTGTTTAGATTTCATAATAATTCACCTGCACAACTGTTCTGTAGCTCTGGCACCACAAATAAACCGCATCTCTGGTACGGTGCTGTCTTTGAGCTTCACTTGCACTGAGCGCCGGGTGGCTGGCAGCCAAGGCGTTGTGCTCGTCGCGCTTCTCACTGTGCGGCTTTGGTTTTGCTGAGCGTGCGTGCGTGCGTGTGTGTGTGTGCGCGCGCACACGTGTCTGTGCATGTGTATGTGCGTGCACGCATGCGTGTGTGCATGTGTCTGTGTGCATGTGTGTGCGCGTGTGTGTGCACATGTGTGCGCGCGTGTGTGTAGAAGAGAGCACACACAAGGCAGGGGATTGGCGCAGAAATGGGGGTAGAGGGGGGCCGGGGGTTATATTTCAGGAAAAGACTCAGCAACAACAGTTGCTGGGATAACTAACTATTCATGTTTAAAACTGTTAGAAATTTGGGTGACCAGCTAAAAGGTTCCTCAATGTGCTAACAGTCAAGGCTGCCCCAGTTTCGGCCTGGGCTTGGAAGGGGAGTGCTGTGGCGAAGGGGAGGACCCCCAGCCGGAAGCGGGGGCAGTCCGGGCCGGCACCCAGAGCTGCCCAGGCACCATGCGTGGACACCAGCGCTGCTGAGCCATCAGCCCTGGTCCAAAACCCCAGAGCTTCACCCTAAACCTGGCCCATTCCCAGCTCTGTTACCAGCCAGCTCTGACTTGCTTGTGCGCTTTCCCTCTGAGGCTCAGCCCGAGCGGCAGCCGCAGTATCTGGCAGCCACAGTTTTTTTTTTTTTTTCCAGAACAACCTTGGCTCTGCTTGCAGGGACCGATCTGCACCTCCAGAAGCAGCTCAGAGCATGGCCCTTTCCCAGCACAGATAACCCCTGGCAGAAGAAAATTTCTGATACCAATTATTGCGTTCAGCTAAAAAAACCACATCCATTAAACAATCATTGTTCTTATTTAATTCCAATTAGACATATTTAAGCCATTAAAAAAAAAAGTGATCCTCTTCTTTGAACCAGCTCTATGAGTTATGTGATTAGGTTTAGCCTATATATCTATAGCCAACAGCTGAGGTCAAATGATGACTATGAGCTTTAATCTTTTAATTAAATAAAAGCTGTACACTACAATGTCTTAGGGATGATTTCACTGCTCTGTTATTCATGCCAAAATACCCGGGTCAAATTGCAAACAGCTGGTTGGGCTGTGGCACACGCGTTTTGGACCTGCCCGCCCCTCGTGCTAGTAACCGCACATTATACAGTCAGCCTGCTGGTCGCGCCTGGAGACGTCTATCCCTTGGTCATGAAGCTCTTGGACGAAGCGCTTTATCTGCTCTTTCTCAGTTGTAGCAAAGGCTATCGTGTGCTGGCAGGTGCTGTTTGCAGGGAAATAGGCAGATTTAGCTCCACTGACAGCAACCTCTGAGACTGGAAAGAAACAAGCCAAAAAAAAAAAAAAGAAGAAGAAGAAAAAGAAGAAGCTGCTGAATAACTTAGCTATGCCCAGCCCCTTGGCAGGTTTGTATTATGTCCCAGTCTTTGGGCAAGCTCCACCACTCCTATTTTCCAGACTAAAGGGTTCAAATTGGAATAAAATTGCCTAGACAGCTTGTTTTTGTTAAGCTTTGGGAAACACAGCTCTCTAGCAATGATGAAACACTGTCCACAGTGGCACATTTTTCACTCACCAGCAGAGAGAGAGAGAGAGAAAGAGAGAGAGAGAGAGAGAGAGAGAGAGAGAGAGAGAGAGAGAGAGAGAGAGAGAGAGAGAGAGAGAGAGAGAGAGAGAGAGAGAGAGAGAGAGAGAGAGAGAGAGAGAGAGAGAGAGAGAGAGAGAGAGAGAGAGAGAGAGAGAGAGAGAGAGAGAGAGAGAGAGAGAGAGAGAGAGAGAGAGAGAGAGAGAGAGAGAGAGAGAGAGAGAGAGAGAGAGAGAGAGAGATGGGCCTCCCGGCCTGGGCACGGACGCGTTTCAGCCATACTCACGGTGACAAGTAGCCAGCGCGTTTCCCCCGATGAGCTGCGTTGTCCAGGCAAAGCCGGTGGCGTTTCCGCACACTTCGTACAGCCTCGTCCGCCGGAGGAACTGGAAGTCGTAGCCCTGCAGAGACAAAGTTGGGCACCAGCCCCGACTCAGGCTGCAGCAGGGTAACGCTAGACCCCCAAAGGGCACTACGGATAGATGCAGACACCTCTGGGTTGCTTTGCGTTTGCTTCAGTTTTCAGAAGCAGGGGCCTGCAGCCTTCGCAAGCAGCCCTCACGCCAGATACAGCCATGAGCGCTGGTGGCAGGAGGACACGGCGCTTTCCGGGGAGCCGGCCCACGCTGGCTCAGGCAGCGCCTGCTGGTGGCTTGAGCCTCAGCTCCCGTAGCAAGGAAAAATATGCGTTACACACTAAACGTTCGTAAATTAGTGAAGGAAGCCAGCAATCCAGTAGCAGTACGGCATGCCTCTCACCTTGTTGCACATGGGTTTGCAGTACTGAACGCCCTCAGCGGTGACACACACCAGCCCGCCGTTGCTGGGGGCTAGCGGGAGCGGGCACGGTGGTAGCTGCTTGCATACTTCTCAGTGGATTTGAAGAAGAAAATTTAAAAAAAAAAAGACACAAAATAAATAGTGAAAAATGAGCATGAATGGTCCCCTCCCTGCCCAGCACAGACCATGGGCATATTCACTGACCTGGGCATGGCTGCCCCCCTCTCCTTGCTATTTGAGGTTGGCAAAGTGAGTAATTTTTCTTGATTTAAAACTTTTTTTTTTTGGCAACACCTAGTGTTTCCATCAGATATGCCTGCAATAACGAAGTCCCAACCAGCCCTAGACGGGCTTTAAGAGCTCGCAGCACCTACGCGAATCGAGGCAGCGGTTGTGTTCCCAGCCCAAACATTCAGGCCTATAGGGGTTAAACTAAGTATTTCTTGGGATAAACAGGACTGAGGTGCCTCTTCCCAGCCACCAAAGAGCCAAGACAGCTGCCAGCTGCTGGGCTGCAGGCTCGCCCTTTCTGCCGCGTGACACTGCTGCAGATTTGTATAGCTCTGTGTGTGTGTGTGTGTGTGTGTGTGTGTGTGTGTGTGTGTGTGTGTGTATGTAAACAAAAAAGTATATATAGACACACGCACACACATATATATGTTCAGAGTATTGGTTGAGCACCTCTCACTTTGTTGATGCCAAGATATTTTCCTCAAGAAATGCAGACATTTAACTCTCAATTACTGGAGGGGGTTTTTGGTTTGTCTTCTGTTTGTTGTGGTGGGTTTTGCTTGTTTCTCTGTTTGTTTCCTTTTCCTCATAGCATCTCCCCTGCCAGTTTGTTACGCCCTCAGGGAAAGGTGAGTGTCATTTTGGGGTGTTTTTTTTGGGGGGGGGGAGGGGGGGCTCACATTTTGCTTGAACAGGTCGCAGGTGATCAAGCATTTCTTGCAGTGTCCAGGCTAGCATGTTGACTGACGTTCTTTCCACCTTGGTGCTCATTTCATGGATGCATTTTGAGTATTTCTATGGAGTCACGGGGAAACAAAAAGGGCTAAGCTGCAGAGGAAAACCACTGGCATCCCTTTGTAAAAGCAGCGATCAGATAGGGTTTTTCACTACGTGTGACTTGAAAGACTGTTCTTTTCTTTCTTTCCATAAATGAAAAGCTATCTGTCTTTAAAAACAAATACATATATTCTTTCAATACAAATTATGACTGTTATTCCTTCTGAATGCTGACAGCTCTCACAGTTTTGTGTGTATGGTTGTAAATGTATATATTTGTGCATATAAACGAAGAGGTCCTGTATTTTATTATCTAGCTATGACTGTATAGTCCTATAAACAAATACGTACAGCTTTTTCTCTGTATATATGTGCATGCACCTACATGGATAGTGAAGAGCTGTGGTACACTCCTCACCCAAAATGCCAGTGCCTGCCGGCATTATGATAGACACTGCTCACTTTGAACTTGCACAACAGCAAGAAAAAGCCCAAGTCCAGTGTTTGGTGCAGTGGCCAGCAATGGGGGGGGGCACTCTAGTCCCCAGGCTATGAGCTGCCAGACACTTCGTTGAAAATTATGAATGTCAAACATAAAAGGAAAATAATATAATTCAA